CTCTCAAGCTTCTTCAATTCGTCAACATATTTCCTGAATGATCAAATATTTGCCCGTGAGAGTCTCCCAGTCGCAGGCATTAGGCTCAGCCAACTCTGCCATCTCTAGCTGTTTGGCTGTGGGCGTGCCTGTGGGTTATTGCAGATTATGTTGTCGCTGATGATGAGGCCGAGTTTCAGCAATTCGGTCCCCGTTTGATGTGATATGGCGAACCGATTAACGGCATTCAAGTGCCCCGTTAGCAGTGCTGAGTCCTCATATCTGTAGTCGGTTCGGTCTCCTTGGCGGATTTGTGCAAAACCACGAAAGCAAATTACGTTGACGATGAGCATCATTTTCCACTTTATTGAATTACCCCCAAAAAGCTAAGTAAAGCCGGGCCAACCAGGCCAAGTCAAGTCAGGACAGGCCATGCCATGCCATGCCATGCCATGAAATGCCAGGCCAGGCCGCAATGTGTGCTGAGGGTTTGGCAGGGCTTGGGGCTTGGGGCTTGGGGACTGCGGGCTTTTGGTCTGTTTGGACGATTTCGTCAGCGCGATAAACAGAATTTCAATTTAAAATATTTTTCGTGCTGCCTTAGCATATTTTTTTATTTGGAGCGGGGCGGAAACAGAGAGCTGCCTGTCTCTGTGCCCAGTTGGACCCAAGACGTAAAGAAGTTATCAGCGCTACGTTTATGGGCTCTTCTAGCAAGCGAGTGGCTGGGGAAGGGGAGAGGCGCTGGGGGAGGGTCGCGTAGGTAAATTGCGACTAATGAAAGCTGCGTGAAAGCAGCCAACGTCCCTGCCAGTGTCTCTTTGTTTATCTCTTTGTTTGTTTGCGTTTTTGTCACATTTTGATGAGTGCCGCGGCAGCAGCTGCCAATGGGAGCTCTGTATTTTTTTCATAGGGTTTATAACTGTGTTTGTGTGTATGTGTAATCATTATTGTTACGCGCATTTGAGGCACTTTCGCTAGACAGCAGCGCTAAGAGCTCCCACTACCCCCAGCCCACCTTCGTGGCGCCTGCTCCATTCATAGCTGCGTGCTTAAAAGAGCATTGCCCGTCGGCATTATGTTCTGTGTCAGCGCAGAGGGGCTGACTGTGGCGTGGGGAGGCGTGGCGCAGGCAGCAGCCGAGGGGCAGCTGTAAATGGTGTCGGCATTGCACGTTGTTTTGTGGATTATCAGGCATGAGGGGTTGACGGGGGTGCTGGGAGGGACATGAGGAATGGGCCTGGCGCCTGCCGCTATGTTGGCCATGTTGACTATGTCATTTGCTAATTTAGCACAAGCCGTCGCTTTGGACTACTTACAAGTTGCCCCCACAGTGGAGCGAGCTGCATTCGCATTCGCATTCGCATTCGCATTTAGCCAGAAAGGTCAACACAATGTAGTTAACAGCCGCATCGACATCATCAAAGCAAACGAACATTAATTAAGTAGCTCGGCTCAGTTCAGCTCAGCTAAAATTGATGACAAACAATATGCAGAGGAAATTGTTTATTCGCTAATGAAAACTATGCCAGGCAATCGATTAGAGCAGCCAAGACTTCGCCTGAGATATACGCCCATTAAATTTCTAATGCGAAAAGAGAAATCCTAAATCATATTGATAAACGTACTCTTTTATTGCGTGAGGAAAAAAAGAGAAGCAAATTTAATATATAATATATCTACTCTGGAATTTATTGATATCATTTATCATTTTCGTATTACGATTTCTGTTTAGCCTCCAAATACATTTGTCACTCGCATTCGCTGCATTTGAATGTGAAGAA